TGCTGTCCATTATGGCATGTGGTGATCTTATAAAGTGTTCATACGTGTTCAATTTTGGATATTGTTCCAAAATCGTGTTAGTACTTCGATTCGATTCTTTTTCTTTCTTATACTTAAGTACACTGATGGCCCGCGCCCCCCTTTAAAGGTCTTTGCCCCGCACTCACCCTGCACACCACACCCCACATCCTAAGCACTCACCCTGCGCGTCGCTCAGCACGGGGTGGTAAAGCCTGGTCCGTGAGCACGTAGAATCCCGTCCAATGACCCTAAGCTACCCATCCTTATAGCTCGCACGTAATTATGTTGCTGTCGCGACTGTGCGACGGGCGCCCGCAGTGAGTGTGCGAGCGCGACAGCAACATAATGAGGGCTATCGTTTGTACCACTGTAGAGTAAGGTCCTGTCACTTGCTAGTAGCGAAGACAGTCGCACCAACTGGTGAGCGCGAAAGTGGTAGGAGGACTATCGCATTTGCACTCACCAAGATGGCGCCACTGTAGAGTAAGGTCCTGTCAATCGCCAGGGGTGCCAACTGTTGAGTATAAAAACGATAGCCCTCATTACGCGCGAGCGATAAGGATGGGTAGCTTGGGGTCATTGGACGGGATTCTACGTGCTCACGGACCAGGCTTTAATGGCGTTTCACCTGCCTCTTGGAACATCCTGTACTAAGCACTCACCCTGCGCGTCGCTGAGCACGGGGTGGTAGGCGGGCGCGGCCCGTGCACACGCCGCAGCTCTCCCCTAGTCCCCTAGTCCGTGAGCACGTAGAATCCCATCCAATGACCCCAAGCTACCCATCCTTATCGCTCGCACGTAATTATGTTGCTGTCGCGCTCGCACACACACTGCGGGCGCGCGTCGCACAGTCGCGACCAGGCTTTAGTGGCGTTTCACCTGCCTCTTGGAACCCTATCCTAAGCACTCACCCTGCGCGTCACTCAGCACGGGATGGTAGCCGGGCACGACGCGCGCCACGCGCACGGCGGGCGGCAGCGTGCTGGCGGGCGGCGCGGGCTGCAGCGGCTCGGCGAGCACGTAGAATCCCGTCCAATGACCCCAAGCTACCCATCCTTATCGTTGTTATGTGTTGTTTGCCTAGGTGCAAGCTCCGCTTGAGCATCAAAGGTCCGCAGTCGGTGAGAATGTGTAGAGCCTGGTCCGTGAGCACGTAGAATCCCGTCCAATGACCCCATCTACCCCCATCCTTATCGCTCGCACGTAATTATGTTGCTGTCGCGCTCGCACACTCACTGCGGGCGCGCGTCGCACAGTCGCGACCAGGCTTTAGTGGCGTTTCATCTGCGTCTTGGAACAGCCTGTACTAAGCACTCACCCTGCGCGTCGCTGAGCACGGGGTGGTAGCCGGGCACGACGCGCGCCACGCGCACGGCGGGCGGCAGCGTGCTGGCGGGCGGCGCGGGCTGCAGCGGCTCGGCGAGCACGTAGAATCCCGTCCAATGACCCCAAGCTACCCGTCCTTATCGCTCGCACGTAATTATGTTGCTGTCGCGCTCGCACACTCACTGCGGGCGCGTGTCGCACAGTCGCGACAGCAACATAATTACGCGCGATTATCGCTCGCGCGATTATCGGACGGTAGCTTGGGGTCATTGGACGGGATTCTACGTGCTCACGGACCAGACTTTACTAATATCGAATCGAATACAATACGGTCCGCCCCGGGTGCCAAGCATCAGGTGGTGACAGATCGCGTAGATTAGTACTGCCACTGCCTTCGAGTCCTGCATCCAGGTAACGCAGTATCTTTTGGGGGGCGATATGTTTTACATCTTGTGGGTTTTAGGATGTGTTTGCCCAGGTGCTGCCCAGGTGCTAAGCACTCACCCTGCGCGTCGCTGAGCACGGGGTGGTAGCCGGGCGCGACGCGCGCCACGCGCACGGCGGGCGGCAGCGTGCTGGCGGGCGGCGCGGGCTGCAGCGGCTCGGCGCGGCCCGTGCACACGCCGCAACTCTCCACCTTGTACTCGCACGAACACCTGGAGATTGGTACAGTTTGGTACAATATGCTTCAAAGATAAGCATAAAAAACTCATAAAACTCTTAAAACTCATTTATTTCTGTAAGTAGGCTTTAAAAAAGCACTTTTACATGTCCCAGTATTAACCCACCCTACCACTGCTTCAGGACAATAAATGGGCCAGTGCTGAGAAGAAGCAGCGCAAGAAATTCAGACACTATTTTCAGACTCTTTTTCAAAGGTTTTCTCTTTTTCATAGCCAAGAGTGGGGACTTTGGTCCAACACCGCGGTGGGCAACCCTCTAGTTGGGTTCGCCACTGATCGGACGCCTTATGCGCTCGATACGGCGACCGACGATCGCCAAACGTCTAGAGTACCTTCTGTACTCGCCACTCTGCCCGGTGTAGCTGGAAAAGCTCTTAAAGCTACCAGCTCGCGTCCCTTAAAAAAAAGGCCTCTCAATGATTTCCATGTAGACCGGTTGATAGCGGCCAGCATCCAGCGCCTTCCTGCTACCTTTATGAGGAGATAGGTGTAGAGAGCCCCTTTTTTTCTTTTATTTTGACGTCCATGGGTTCTTGAATCATAGTCTAAATTAAATAAAGATTTTCGGCATTCAAATGTGACTTTGATATGTCTCTTTTACAAAATAGCGTAAAACCTCCACTCACCTGATGTCGGAAGGTTTCGCAGCTTTACTGGTGGCGAGGTGCAGATTGTGCATCTGCAGCAGCTTGCGCTTCTTGAAGGTGTCGCGGCGTAGCGGCCGGACGCGCGCGCACGTCTCGCCGTCGTCCGATGTTCCCGGCAAGCTGCCCTCGTAGCCTACCGGCTCGCCCTCGAACTGAACCGCGCCTTTGGCTTCGCGGACCTGCGGCAAAGGCGTTTCGTTTAAGGCTACGGTCGGTAGCGTAATTATAGGGTGGCAGGGCTGGCAAAATACCACGACGGGCCCCTGACCCGAGGGGCATCGCGATGCTTCAGGGCGATGGTCCGGAATGGTCCGGGACCCCCTGAAAAATACCTAGACTAGAAAAAAAACCTAGATACGCCAAGGGCCCCATGTACTGAATTTGTCACCGGCCTCAGATGGTATAGTTGCGCCACTGGCTACAGTCTCCTATTACTAAACTCTATACGCGTCCGACGTCAGCGTCAAACGTTCCTTAACGCGTCTGAACGCTGCCTACGACGACGTCAACGTGAAAGAGACCACAACAGTAGGCGCCCGGCAAGCTGCCCTCGTAGCCTACTGGCTCACTCTCGAACTGAACCGGGCCTTTGGCTTCGCGGACCTGCGGTAAAGACGTTTCGTTTAAGGCTACGGTCTTCAAGCCCGCGAATCGAAACACAATAGATGAATCATTGTTACGCGGTCATATGCGAACACTTGGAGATTAATGGGATAAACGCTATTCGCAGCGTTAAAAATTTCTATCACGTCTGAACGTTGCCTAGGACGTTCATGCCGAAGTCCACGTTTGGAAGAGACCACAATAGTACATTTCTAAAGCATTATATTGTGACGCAGCCTACGACGAGACGCTATAGGCGGCCTACGGCGTTTATAGGGGACCACAGCCTAAGTCAAAAACACATTGAGGTATAGCCCGACCAGGAACATAAAAA